ACTTCACTAATGACTACAATTTTTCTTTTTCCTCCCAGTTCTCTGGATTCCCCCTTCACATGGCTTACTCTGAAGTGAAACCCTTAATTGAGGCTGTACACAGTACTGGAGTACACAGTACTGACGTTCCCAACGTTGAATTTGCTTTAGCTGTGTACGTCCACCCATACCCCAAAAATGTTTTGTCCGTTTGGATCTATGTTGCCTCCCTGATACGGAACAGGTGATTTTGTTCATTGTACTTTTTATACCATGTAAAAACTACAATCAAGATATATTTTTATAGATTACACCAGCAGTAGCACTGGCAATGATTAAATAAATGGATCATGTTTTCAGACTGTGCAGCAGTAAGTGCCTTATTTCCTAGTCTGCCCTGCCACTGACTCTGCATCCAACGCGAGTCTCCGCAGGAGCCCTCCTGGTGCTGCCCGCCCTCACGGGTCCACAGGTCCTGCCTGAGAGCTCTCCTCCTCCGCTGTTTGTCCGGCAGCGTATTCATACGTGGAAGACGCAGCAAAGCACTACTTCACAACGTTTGGGGGGTGGAGGGCGACAGCTATGCAATATCAAACTTTAGTTTTTCACCCTGCGGTACCTCTTAAGGCTTGATGATAGAGAAACACTGAGCGAGCACACACTCACATGCCTGTGCACATACTCCCCACATGCCCACTGAAGCAACAGAGCATTTAAAGAGGAATATATTTAAATATCCATCAAAAGAGAAGTACTTCAAAGAAAAACTGAGCTATGTGAACATTATACTAAGCCACTGAAATGGAGGAGACTCACGGGCTGACATGAGAAAAGATGTACACCAGGATTTCTAAGCAGCAACACACCTGCCATTTCAGGACAGGTGACCTTGTACTCGTAGTGCCTAAGGCATCTGAATGCTAACCAGAAGGTTGGCAGTTCAAACCTACCAGTCACTCCTTGGAACTAAGACTGAGCAATCTACTTCCGTAGAGACACCGCCTGGGAGACCCGACGAGGGGTCGATAAAGAGTCAGAATCTCAGCGGTACTGAGTTTGGTTTGGGTTGGGTTTGACTGTGTGCTGTGAGGCTACCCCATGAAATGTAGGCTGGTTAGCAGCACCCGTGGCCTCTAACCATTATCCATTAGATGCCAGTTGCACCCACCATCACCCCACCTGTGGCAACTAAAAATGTTGCCTAATGGGAGCTCTGGTAGCATAGTGGCTAAGACACTTGCCTGCTAACCAGACGGCTGGTGGTTCAAACCCACCAGCCACTCCTCGGAAGGAAG